TTGGGATGAAACCCAGGGAAAGCTGACAGGTTTATTTTGAATTATTCCTTGAAAATGAAATATGTAATATGATGGGGAAACACATGCATTTAAACGAATATATAAGTTCTCTTCCCCGCTCTCATACTGCTACACACCCTCTTTCTAATCTAGATTGGGTTTCCCCAGAACTCAGTTTTTAGTACATCCTTACTTTGGGGGCAGGGGCAGGTTAAGGCCAACTGATGCCCTGAGCACACCCGCACATGGGTGTACCTCGGCCCTTCCATTGCTCAACTGACAAGACATTAAGACTCAATAAGTGCTCACAATGCAGATTAAAGTCGAAAACGGCAGATAAGGACAATTACAACGAAAATTGACTGAAGTCAAGTGTGGCAGTGAAAGAGTTAAGTGCATGATATCTAGAGGGGAACACTCTGTGGTACCCCCCCCCCCCCAGTTTGGTGCCCTCATCACACACTTATTTTGTTTAATGGTTAATCCAGGGATGTTTGGGGCCATGTGCTAGAAAGAAAGGGTTTCAACAACAGCTTCAACTGCTACAAAAACTGGCTGAGAATGAGAGCACTGGGGGTAGATGCTACAATGCACAGAAATGTCTCCTATCTCCTCTAGGCGGATGACCTGTCACAATCTGTTTCCTTGGATTGTACCCATAATGCAGCAGGCGGGTGTCCATCTGGCATTCTTCTTCCCAGATGTTGAAGACGGCAGTCTCAAAATCCAGCCTCTCCCCAGATACTGGGTGTTGGATCCAGAATAAATTGGCGATTTCTGCGAATTCTCCCTCATGTCACCCATCAGAGTCTCCTGTCCTCCAGGAGGAACATTTGGTGGAGGTCAGTGGGCTGCAGTGGAAGGAGAGAGGTGTTTCTTTTCTGCCAATGGAAAATCTAGTCTGGATTCAACCCATTGGCTTTATTTGAGATTTATAGTGGCTGAGACCAGTGAATATGGCTGCCATTAGAAGTGGAGAAAAAGGTTATCATCTGCTAATTGCTGCGGGTTACACTTGCAGCTTAAAGGCATTGTCACAGGATCCAGTTCAAAAGCTGGCAACCCTTCCAAGTGAATGCAAAACTGTAAGAAGGAGAGAAGCTGGGCTCGAAGCTCAACCTGGTTCTCTGCATATGTGCCCTCAGTGAGGACATTCTTGGCTCCCCAAATCACACGTTCAGAAACAAAACAAAGTAATAAAAGGGAGATTTTTCTGTGAAACTTTCTTGAGACTGGCCAAAAGCGCAAAAGTACTTAATGGCTGCCCCAGACTTTTCTGTCCAATTTTCTGCCCTGGTAGAAAAGAAGTCCCCAGAATTCAGCTCTTGCATGAAAAAAGAATGTGTGGCTGTTGACATTCCATGCGTCCTGGAGCATACTCGATCCTCATCAGTCCAGTTTTGGATTTCTGGGTCCTTCCACTGCTTTCTTTATCTGTGAGTGACCTGGTTTGACTTGCTTTCATGACTGACCACATCACCTACTTTACTATGATGAGATGCAGAAATAACAGAAAACACCATCGTATTTAGCTTCCCACCATTTTCCTTGAGTGTTTGAATTAGGGTTGCCAGCCCCCAGGTCCCAGCAGGGGCTCCCTGGATTCTGGGGGCTTTGAACCCCGCCCCCAAACAGGGACATCATTGTGCAATGTCCTCGATGTGACGCTCTGGTTTTGGGGCAAACTCTATGGCAAACTCTGAAGGAAAAAAAACCCATAGAGTTTTGCTCCGAAACCAGAGCATTGCATGCAATGTCGCCGACATGATGATGTCACTTCCAGGTGATGTCATTGCATCGGGGACATTGCACGCGACATCCTGTCCACCCCAGAACACCCCATTGTGACGGCAATGGGACCAGGCAACCCTAGCTTCAATATCTATATAAAAGTCGGTGCAAACTGTTTCAAAGCAGAGAGGAATTTGTGCAATCAACAGTCCAATCCAGTCCTTCTGATTTTGGGCCTCCAGCCTCACATGACAGGGACCCATGATCCTCCCAATATGCACAATCACTATTTTGTACAAATAGGGCAGCGTGGATATTTTTCCAGCTTTGGTATGCACGAACTCATATCTTCAAAACTAGCTTTCAGATAGTGCTTACTGAAGTTGAAAATACTATTTGCACAAAATAGCATCTGCATAAATAGAGAGGATTGCATGTACTCTAATCTTCCCTTATATGCAGGTGGATCACCAATGCGTGAAGAAGGCTAGAAACTTGAGCCTATGCTATCCCTTTTGCCTCTATTGAGAGCCAGTTTCGTGTAGTGGCTAAGTGCGTGGACTCTAATCTGGGAGAACCAGGTTTGATTCCCCACTACTCCACTTGCAGCTGCTGGTGTGATCTTGGGTCAGTCATAAATTCTTTCAGAGCTGTTCTCTCAAGGACAGTTCTGTCAGAGCTCTCTCAGCCCTGCCTACCTCATAGGGTGTCTGTTGTGGGGAGGGGAAGGGAAAGGAGTTTGTAAGCCACTCTGAGACTCCGAGTGAAAGGCGGGGTATAAATCCAATCTCCTCCTCTTCCTCTTCTTCTTCTATTGTCTCCTGCTTTTTAGTAATATTTAGAGAATGTCACAACCTCTAGTCTTTCAGTGCAGTTAGGAAGAACAGAAATGGTAATCCAGGTGACTAATTCTGAATGGAGCTAGTTTGTGTTCAGTAACTCTGTCTTGTACACTTGCTAGTTTGGACTTAGTGTTCATTTGGAACAAATTTTGAGGTAGTAATATTTGGTTAACACCAAATATGTGACAAGTATCCCTGCAGACACACGAAAATATATATTTTAAAAAGTGCTTTCCATGGTTCATAATGCTGAATAACTAAATTGGGAAGAAAGTATTCTGGCAAATATAGAGACAAAAATGGTCTCCTCCTACAGTCAATACAGTGTTCCTTGTTTTCAGGAGAAAAATCAGAGCTACTAAAAAAAGAATACATCAATAATGTATGAAAGGAATATGTCACACGGGGCTGTGTTCTTACACTTAACAATTCTCACGCTTTTCATCTGAAAGCTCTTGGGGGGGGTATTAGGTAAATACTATCAATCGCTATCATGGCCAACACAACATGGCAGACTTTTGTTGATTTGCTGATGTTTTACAATTCCAAACTTCTACTGGGCAAGATTAAGCAAAAAAATCAGAGTAGGTCTTGGCACCATGACATCACATCACATCTCTATGAAGTCTGGCTCCATCTTTGTATATCATTTAATGACTCCTGCAAGCTGTTTGGTGAGCGTCTGATTTACAGAAGGCCCAACCTTGCAAGTCTATGGGGTAAGAGACCTTTAGATCTGTACCTTCTCATGATCCTTATTAGAATCTCACTTCAATCTTTTAATAAAGGTATTATCAGCAGAACTCTGTGCATAATAATAGAATTAGTCTTCTACCTTAATGTAACCTCCGTTGTATTTATTTCCACAACGGGCCTTATTTCTAGTCTTTTAATAAAGGTATTATCAGCAGAACTCTGTGCATAATAATAGAATTAGTCTTCTACCTCAATGTAACCTGCAGTCCCTGAAATATCATTTTATGTACACTTTAAGGCCTAAGGTGTGGGGTGGGGCTGGGCCAATCATAAAGGTGAATGAGATTCCAAAATTCCAGGGGGTGCCTGACTTAGGTCTGTAAATATCAGGGAAAGAAGAGCTCCAAAGATAGCTCAGCAGCTCGTAAGCTGGTTGATACCCTCTGCTGGTTGATACCCTCTGCATTCCTGAAATGGGATTGAGAATTTTATCCACTCCAGCAGCTGCTCAGGGCACAAAACGCGTCTGTAAATCAGAGAAAGGAAAGATGGAGCAGACACTGTTTTTATAATTCTGTATTCCACCTTGAGTCTTGGCGAGAAAGGCAGGTGATAAATGCAGTAAATAAATAAACGGAAAGTGATAATAGTATCCCAGTGAACTCCTGATCATTTAATATGCTATTGTTACTCTGTTCAGCATACGGAAAGACAAAATGGGAGCTGTGGATAGCAGCATTCAACTTTTCCTGGATAGCAAAGAAGCTTGGGCCAACCAAGCATTCCGTACTCTGAATTAAGAGTTCTTTGATTCCCAGGACTTTCCAAAGATGCAAGAAAGATGCCTTTCCTATGACTCTGCTTTGCTTAAGTGCTTTGCTTCATGTACATCACAGCTCGTAAGCTGATTGATACCCTCTGCATTCCTGAAACGGGATCGAGAATTTTATCCACTCCAGCAGCTGCTCAGGGCACAAAACGCGTCTGTAAATCAGAGAAAGGAAAGATGGAGCAGACACTGTTTTTATAATTCTGTATTCCACCTTGAGTCTTGGCGAGAAAGGCAGGTGATAAATGCAGTAAATAAATAAACGGAAAGTGATAATAGTATCCCAGTGAACTCCTGATCATTTAATATGCTATTGTTACTCTGTTCAGCATACGGAAAGACAAAATGGGAGCTGTGGATAGCAGCATTCAACTTTTCCTGGATAGCAAAGAAGCTTGGGCCAACCAAGCATTCCGTACTCTGAATTAAGAGTTCTTTGATTCCCAGGACTTTCCAAAGATGCAAGAAAGATGCCTTTCCTATGACTCTGCTTTGCTTAAGTGCTTTGCTTCATGTACATCATTGTCAGACTTGACAGATGTGTGTATGGCATTTTACACTTAGATAGTTAATAAATAATAATAATAATCATATGTCATTCTGAGTAGTATAGCCAGGAGTTCATAAGATTGTCTGACAGCCTGAAGTTCTTGCTCTTTTAGCGTTATGCACCACTAGGCGGTGAGCTAGACTTATTTTGGGGGCTGAGAGAGCTCTGAGAGAACTGTGACTGACCCAGGGTCACCCAGCTGGCTTCCTGTAGAGGCATGCAGAATCAAACCCGGGTCTCCAGATTAGAGTCCAGCACTCTTAACCACTACACCACACTGGCTCTCAGCACTAAGATCATTATTTTATTTTGAGACACCAGAACCAGAGTTTGGGAAAGGACGTGCATCAATTCATAATTTTAATATAATTCCAGATTTTTTCAGTTCACTGTTACTCCCTGTTTGTTGTAGGTAGCTGCTAAACCTGCATCTCACAAGAGACTGGATAGCCTGCTGGAAATTATCACTGATGATTGCATAAAGCAACAGGTTGGCGCATGTGTTCAGGGCAGCCAACGGTCTACAAATAATGTAGATGGCGTGGATTTGGTGTTCAGCCTCACAGCTGACTGGAGACAGCCTTAATTCAATTCGGGCAATCCTAAAGACATGGAAGGGTAGAAAACACGCATAAAAGACCACCAGGAGGAGCAAGGCGAGTTTACGAGCCTTCTGTTTATAAGGGTTTTGAGTGTGGGGCCCCGTAGCCAGGGTGTAGATTATCAGGGCGTAGCAAGTGGTCACAGTTATTAAAGGCACATAGAAAATCAGGCTCGTTAAAAGCCAGTTGTACCACCGAATAACATCCAGGTCGTTGGAACTAGTAAGGTCAAGGCAAATAGATTTGTCCTCTTGATCCGCGGAGGTAATCAAAAAGTTGACAGGCGTCACAACAGCCAGTGAAACGGCCCAAGCTGCGACGCAAGCCACAATAGTGCATGACCTCTTACGGAAGTGAAAAGTCCTCATGGGGTGGACGACCGCTAAGTATCGGAAGACGCTGAAGCATGTTAGGAAAAGGATGCTGCTGTATAGGTTGAAGTGGAAACCAAAGCGGATGAACTTGCACATGAAGTGTCCAAAGACCCAGTGTTCCCCGTTGGCGTAGTAGTGAATCAGGAAAGGAAGGCAAGTTAAATACAATAAATCTGTGCAGGCTAAATTGAACATAATGATGGTGCTGCTCTTCCAGGGTCTCATCTTGAAAGCGTACACAAAAATTGCAATGATGTTGCCCGGAAAGCCCACGACGAAGATCAAGCCGTAGAGCGGCGGCAGGTAGGACGTTCTGAGATCCTCCACTTTGTTGGTGCAGTTCCCCAGAACAGCTATGTTGTAATTCAGGAGCGTGTCAGTTATATTTGCTACATCATCCGATGCAGCTATGTCCATGGCAATCATTCTAAGACTTCTAGAGGAAAACAAGAAGATGTTAGTTTGGATTAGATCTGTTAGTTTGGATTAGATCTGTTTAAGACACTCCATCTTTCTCTCTGGGCCTAAAACAGGTAACAGCAACGTAAAAAATACAACACCTATTCTGCTGTCAAATGCGTGTTGGCAGTTGCAGATACACTGTGGCGTTCTGCACATGCCCAGAGGCACCCCTTTATTATTAAACGCCTCAGCTTTGAGGTTCAATGAAGAGCCAGCAGCTGCTACTGAAGAGACAGGACTATGAAATAGTAAAACCTTGTGAAATTTCAAAGAAACCAAGCAAGTTCTGCAAGGCACCTGAATGGTATTTGAAACTCAAGATACATGAGACTTCTTTTCATCTTTACTCACAGCACTTGTATGCCTGCATGCTCACATTCCCTCACAAACATGCATACACATGAACCCAGTGAGTGAGTGAATGAAGACACCTGGCATTCTCTGCTGCCTCCTCCTTCTCTCTTACTCAGGGGTCATTTGGGGGGGGGGACGCGGGGGGACGCCATCCCCCCGGGAGAGGGGCGGGGACTGGAGGTGCCTGCGAGACCTTGTTGGGCCGGGCCACGTGTGACATAAAATGTAATGCCAGGTAGTGGAGATATAAACTTTATAAAGGACACGGACACAAAGATTTTTGTTTACTTAAAATAAAAACATGCTTAAAACATTAGCTCTGTAAGCTGCAGACCTACTTTTGATTTATTGACATTCACCGCAGAAATCTCATGCTCAGAGTTCTGAGTCGAGGACCCAGGTTAAAACATGAGATGGCTGAGTGATTAAGAGAGTCTGGCAAAGCAAGCTGTGATGCAGCAACAGTAGCAGGCAGGAGATGGCCAGTTCCCCTGCGGGCCTGATGGAAGCCCTCCGGGAGCCTGATCCGCCCCCTGGGCCACATGTTTGACACCCCTGGTCTGCTTCCACCACCAGCCCCTCAAAGAGAAGCCTCACGTGCCAGGATGTTGGCACCAGGATAGATTAATGCGCCATAACGGCTTTGGGAGGATGTTGACTCCTCCCAGTATTTGTGGAATCCTTGCTGGTTTCTCCCCACCCCCACCCCCAATATGTAGTATAAGCTAAATCCTTGGTGCAGGTTCACAAACACACATATAACAACACTTATTTTTTGTTTATTTATTTTCATTACATTTATTAATCGCCGAATCCCCACAATTGTGGGGCTCCAGGGGATGTACAAGTTTTAAAATCATAAGAACATAAAACCATATCCAGTATATTATACAATAATTAAAAGCAAGTGGGGGAAAAAAATTTGCCGTTCCCTCCCATATCTGGTCTGTGGGTACTTCGGAACCAGGGGGAGGGAGTAAACTCCACAAGGAATAGGGATCCAGGTAGGGTGCCCGCTATGATATAAACGCTATGATAGAAACGTATGATATGATATAAACGCTATGATATAAACTTAGCAGTGCCACAATTCGACTGACTGAGATGGCCTTGTCTATTCATCGGCAGCCACATTTTTTTGAAAAAGTTTATTGTTAATATTGTTAATATTCATAAAAGCCGTCTCAGATGATGCAGCCCTTCTTTCTAAGACACACTGGAGGCATACCACTTCTAACGCTGGCAGATACTTGCCTCGTGTAAGAACAAAAGTGTGTCGTCCCCCGTCCCCCCCACTAAAATCTGTTTATTCATATGCACGGGGATAATCAATCTACTAACCAATGAATTAAAACTTGTAACACGAACCATCATTTCTCTGAACTGGCAGCAACTTAGATGGAATACATAGGTGGTTTAGAAACACATGGGAACATCTTTGCCCCGGGCAAATGAGCATTGCCGGCAGTGTTCCTTCTAAGCTGAATTAGTGTGAGCTAGCTCACAGTTTTTAAATCTCCGCTTCACACATTTTGTCTTAGCTCAGGAAGGGATGGCTCCAGAGCAAACTAAGGGTGATTTCCCACAAGTGCTGCTCCTCGCTCACTCCTCCCTTTTGCCCCGATGGTACGTGTCAATTTCCTCAAAAAACAGGATTGAGTAGACCCGGGGAAAATCGCACGAAGCTGTGGGGCAAGCTGTGGGGCAAAATGCAGTCGCTCAGCAGCTTGTGTGAAATTGACACGTACCATCGGGCCAAAGAGAAGAGTGAGCGTGGAGCAGCGCTTGTGGGAAATCACCCTAACTTATGCAGCAGCCAAATCGCTCGCTCACAACTTTAATGCCAGTCGCTCACAAAGTAGAATTTTTGCTCCCAAGTCTCCACAGCTTAGAGGGAGCATTGGTTGCTGGTGTGATGTAGGTTCACCAACCTGTAAAACACCAAGGTCTGGTTTGATTTTAACAGTATGCTTGGCATGCACAAAAATAATAATTAGTTATAAATATTGTTTCCTGTATCTTTCAGTATTGAACTGTCTCTGAAACTATGCAGTATCCTAAAGTTTAGTTTACCTGTCTGGAGTTCCCAGTGCTTCTCTTTGTATCTGGAAATTAGAAGACAGTAAAGAAGCTTCTAGGGAGGGAAGGTGGCGTGGTATAGCCCGATCTTGTCAGATCTCAGGAGCTAAACAGGTCGGTACTTGGAAGGGAGACCACCAAGGAAGACTCTGCAGATGAAGGCAACGGCAAAGCACCTCTGCTTCCCACTTTCCTAGAAAGCCCCTTGCTGGGGTCACCCTAAGTCAGCTGCGACTTCATATGACACTTGACACACACAAAGAAGCTTATTACATCGCATGGGGAGAGGGCGAAGTTCTGGAAGGCAAAAACGATGCTTCTCACCTATTGATGCCACTCGGAGATTGCAAAGGGATCCATCTCCACGGTTGCTGGAAGACAGAAACAAGTTCATGCAGTGCAGCCAGGAAGGGGGAAAGATCTGCCCTGACCGAGTGCTGTGCAAGCTCGTGGAGTGCCTGTTTGTGTCTGGTTGACTCCTGTCCCTCCCTTAGCAGCTGAAACTGCCCACAGCCTGATTGAGCTGTCCTGGGTGCTTCAGGACTGCCCAGCCAGGCTTCCCAGAGGAAAGGTGACTAAGCATTCGGCTTCAGCAATCCATCAAGGCTGGTTTGTCTAATAGGAAAGTGACTTGAGGTGCCATCCTGTGAACACTTTCGTCCTGGAAAGGATGAGAACAAGGTGCTTCTGGCATTGTCCTTCCAGATCCATTTCAGAGAAATGCTATAGAAATGTTTGTGCACAACACTTCGTATAAACAGCCAGTGTAATTTCTGGTCCAAAAACCCTCAAAGCCTTTTTACACAAGGAAATAATTCATTGGTTTTGGAAAAGGGTCTTTCTTTCTAGTACATGAGATATATCTGTACTACCCTTTTTTGGGGGGGAGGAGAATGCTATCATTTGTTCAGTTTGGTTTGGATCCTGAAGATTTGTATAACAAGCTCTTTCAGTGGAGGAAAGCTGGCGCCTTACGTTGGAGCAAGGTGTTACCATTAGGAGAACAAATGCTTAGGATCTAACCCTTGGTTATTACCAAGAACACAGATGCATTCCATTGTTTCCCCTGTTGTCCTCCCATCTTTTTTTCTTAAGGCATGGGGTCTTTCTATGCTGGGAGCTGGGACCCTCTTGCATTGCCATAGCGGCCAGTATGTCCCAATGGCCATTGCAGCTTTTAATGCGAAAGTTACTCCACAATTTTTATATGGGGCTGCGATCTGGATTAAAGAAATTTCGGAATTATCAGATCAGATCCTTCTCCAGTTCCTGCGTAAAATTGCAGGAGTCCCTAAATGTGTCGCAGGGACGGCACTTAGAGAAGAATTCGCACAATGCTCCTTTGAGTCAAGAGCCTGGAAGGCAGCCTTTAAATTGAGACTGAAAGTTCTTTATATGACACCTAATGCTCAAGGAGGTCTTCTTTATCTTTTAAAAGGGGATAATTATAAATGTACGTGGGCAAAACATATAGATAACAAGCTGGAGTGGATTGGTCTCGCCCCTACGGGGCTTAATAATTTAAATTATCAAGAAGCGCTAAATTTGATGAGATTGAGGGTGACAAACATTGACCGACTCAGCACTTCAATTCGTGCTAGGCGAGTATGCTCCAACTCTGCCTTAGGGATTGTTCCACCTAAGAAAACTCCCTCATATATGAGCTTCCTTACATCCCCCAGATCTAGATATGTCTTCACGCTTGCAAGGTTGAATGTTTTTCCAACTGTAGAGCTAAGTGGCCGTTTTGCTAAAATACAGTACTCAAATAGATTGTGTAATTGTGGATCAGGTGCAATAGAGACCTTAGATCATCTTATGTTATTTTGCCACCAATGGATTGACCCCAGATCCTGCTTGATTACTCCTATTTTACAAAGATATCACCTCCCTATGGAACCCTGGGTGATAACCATACTATTAGCTGATGAGGACCCTGAAACGACTCGCTTGGTGGCAAAATATCTTTCAATAGTGCTATTTTTAAAGCGGCTTTGAAATGTTATGAGTACCTTTTGTATACAATTTTAAAATTTTAAAACTAATTTCCATAATATCATGGGATTTTATAGAATTCATTGAAGTTTATAAAATGTGGTCTGATGTTACTGATTGAGAGCATGTTTACTAGCTTTTATTGTAAAGGCGTTCTGTCTAAATTTCTTGTAATTTTATGTAATGCATTTTATACTTGTTGTTTGCATGTTTGGCTTAAGACCTCGGGTCAATGAAGCTAATAAATGAAATGGAAATGGCATTGCCATAGCACTAGTCTTTTGCAGTTAGCACACTGCTGAATTAAATGTGCTTCCATGTGGTTCTTAATATAGCACCGTATCCCCTGTGATAACCTTGCCATTCTCATCCCCACATGCAAGAGTCTAGACAACTTTACTAGGCGTGTTTACTCAGAAGAAAACCCCACTCGGTCCAGTGGGTCTTATTTCCCAGAAACCTTGTTTAGAATGTCAACATTCAATCAGCAGAGATTTCCTTGTTTAGTGTGCTTTAACCCATGGCAC